AAAAAAAAAAAAAAAAAAAAAAAAAAAAAAAAAAAAAAAAAAAAAAAGAAACAAGACTCTCACCATCACGATTCCAACAGCGTTTCGATAAAGCAAACTACTGACAAGCATCCCGACCCAGCACAATGAGAGCAAATAGTCGTGGCTTGTCCAGATGCGAAAAGATTGGCGCCTCCTCGTCCCGTTGCACGGAAGTCAGCAACACGGTGCAGAATCATGCACTTGTACCCTGATCCTCCTCTCCTCCTCTTCAGCTTTGATCAGGATCTCAGCCCTGACTCCTCGATGTGCGCCAGCCTGCAAGCTGTGCCCTTGTATGGCTTCAATCTAGGACATCTTTGCACGAATGGTGATGTGTCTCTTTCTGGTTTGTTTTGACCAACTGTTACGAATGCCCAGATCGGATCAAGGATCTGGGGAGCAAATATAGCTTTGGAAATTTCCTGACTCGAATAGGCTCTTGGGGGGCCCTAGCCACTAGTATCCTCGGTATTCTTATCGTCGATTTCTTGTTGCTCCGCCTGTAGTTGGCTCGGGGAAGGACTCGGAGCTCTCACGCTCCTAGGTGCATCATATATCGAGCTGGTGTACCTGGCACGTAATGCTTCTTCGCATGCCAACTCTTGGTCGTATTGTGGCATGACTCTGCGCATTGCTTCAAGCCAGTCTCCCATGGTCTTGGGCGTCAAATGGCACATTTGGGTATACTCCCAGTACTCGGGGTACCATCCTGCCGACTCCCAGCCTATCAAGGCACATATCCGACCCGCGTCGTCCACGAGGATGTTTTGAGGACAAAGGCTTGCGTGGGTAAACTTGAGTTGATATGGTTTCTTGGGTGCATGGACCATTTGGATCTCCTTTTCCGGGAAATCGTCTGTCGGGTGACCCCTCCGCTCAAACTCTTGAAAGGCCTCAATGGAAAAGAAGGGTCCTATGCGACCAGAGCCAAAGCGGTGATCCAACGCAGCGCCCAGTGTGGCATCCCCCACGACGCACTTTTTTGGCGGTTGCATCTTCCTGAGTTGCTCCACAAAGCGCCCTAGATCGGCCACAATCTTGTTTTGTTTATGTGCTGACATGGACGGCCATAGTTCCTGCAAGGGTTTCCCAGGGTATGCTTCGTATTCGACTACTTTTCCCTCCGGTCTGTTGTATACCGCCAGGACTTTGTATGAAGGCACCGAAGTGTGTCGGTCAATCAGCATCAGGGCTTGATACTCGGTATTGACACAATGTGTTTTGAGGATTCGGTTGTTGCTGAGGCGCAGCACCGATTCGCCAGTGCGAGCGTCGGTCTCTTTCTTTGCCCAATGCATGCGCCATTTCAGACCAAAGGGGATCTGGTCGTATTCGTCTTTTGGCTCTTCGTCCTTACTTCCAAAACAAAATGGCATGACTGCAAGAACACACTAGGCCAGTGGAGGGCAGTTCACAGGCTGGAATCAGGATGGCAGTCAGTGGCATTGAACTACGGCGCAGATTGTCCGGGTGCAGGTCGAGCGATCATGAGAACAGTAGGTGCGTGGTGGAGGGGGGCTTATGTGCGCTGAGACTCGAAGGGTGACCTCTGACGTGGATCTGGTAGGAGACAAGGAAAAGCAGTGTGGCTTCGAGATAGCGGTGAGCTCCTGTTTGGATTCATGTCTGTGCGATGGACATTTAGAGGACGCGGAGGACGAATGGTGATGGCGGGGAGGGGGAGAAAAGAGGTAGAAGAGACGATGTGAGGATGAAATAGGTCGGTAGGGAGGTAGAGAAGATAGGTAGATAGGTCGATGGAGGGACTGGCCTTCTCCTACCTGTAGTTGGTTGAGCCCATTGACAAGAAGTCCCAAGGCGAAGGCAAGGATGAAGACGAGCACGAATACATGTCGGAGGCGGGACGAGAAAGAGGGACAGTCGACCAGAGAGGAACCGGGCAGAGCGCACAGGGCACCGAACCCAGAGCACCAAGTCCGGAAACTGGGGGGACAAGAGTTTGTACGGAGTAGTTAGCAGTACTTAATCCCCGATAGTTAACTCGATACTGCGCCCCCGAGTCTGGGCATCTGCCGTGGGCGTCCCCAATCTGTCACCATCTCCATCTCCCCCATCTGCTCGTTCCTCGCTCCTCACTCTCACTCCTCACTCGGTGCCTCAACATATCCATCCTTCGTCCCATCAATCCATCCCATCAGCTGAGCAAATCGACTGAAAATGAGGATAAAAGAGAACCTCGATTTCACCTGCAGCCCATCTTCCTCCCGCTCTCCTCTCGAGCCTCGCCCCAACCAAGCTTCGTTCCTCACTCCCGAGGTTGCATCTCCAAGGAATGTGTTAGATCGACCGGGGATATGAAGGCTACACCAACTCCCCTCAGGCCCTTCAGCGACTACGAGGTACATACGTATGCAAGGCGGTTGGGGATATTGATTCCGCTCCTTTTTTGGGGAGTGGGTGTCTCCCAAGGTACCAACCAAGAGTTGAGCCACTAGCCTTGGCCTTGGCTACCGCCGCCGCTGACCAAACTACACAGCAAAAGAGTAAGTGGGACGCGTGTTTGCTCTCTGATCGACGACGATTGCCCATTTATCTGAGAGACATCCATCTCCTCCTTCTCCTTGAACAAAGAAGAGGTCATCTGCCAAGTGGTCAATCAAACGCAATTCCACCCCAGATACGGAGTACAGTCAAGCAAAGCCCAACGAAGGTTCCACTGAGCTGGCCATTCTAAAATGATCTGTGATATGAGCATCATCTCGTGCTCCATATGACTTGGGAACAATGATATGAGACAATACAAAGCACGGACACTGCTTGAGCGCACGGTACGTCACGATCCAGCACTCAACAAAGCACAGGTGAGTCTCTTACCCTTCTGGCCCATCACGGCGAATTCAACAGCTCAACCAGAGGGGAACATGTTTGTCCATCTGCTGCTAACATCAGGATCTTTGACGACCAAACACCAGGCCCCTAGAACAATCGTATCTTCGGATTTCTTTGTTGATTCTGCCCGCCTGTCCAACCTTGCTTGTCGTCTTCCATTGTCTCGGTCTATCCAACCGCAAATTTCGAACAAAGAGAAGGTGTCGTGTCTGTTTCTGATCACAATCAGCCCGAAACTGCCGATTTTATCATGGCCAAAGAAAAGTGTAGGTGCACAACCTATTCTGGGCGAATCCTGTTCATTGTTCGTCTCAAGATGTGGCCTGCTTCGGGCATGGCCATTTGTGATCGTGGACCCCTATCATAACTGTTTCTGCTCCTGCTGCACACTCTTTTCGAGCATCCACATCGTCGAGTTGTTACAATATCTTCATTCCGATACAGTCTCTACCAACTCCTAGTTATCAAATAGAACAGCCATGACTTCATCAAACCCGACGTCTCCAATCCTTCACACCCTGTCGCCACGGTCGCCACGGTCGCCACGGTCGCCGCGGTCGCCGCACTCGTTCGGAGCTGTTGAAAATGAGTTGGTCCAGCCGCTTCCTCAGCTTGTGACTACATTCTCTGGTCTAGCCTCTACTCAAACATCGACCACCAGCCCAAATCCTTGGGCTGGCAGCAATGCCAATGGCACAATTTGCCGACGAAACAGCCTCGCGTCTCCAGTGATGATGTCCCCTGCACAAGCAGCTTTTGTGCCAATATCTCCGGCACAAGCACGCCACCGGATTCGCACGCCCGAGATAGCACCTTTTCAGATAACCTATACACCGATGACAGCAAGGTTCCCTCGCGAGGACGGCCGGCAGAGCCGCATGGCCATGCGCAGTCCAACGTATGAGAGAGTCTTTACGCTGCCCCTGCGTGTCAATACAATTCTTCCCAGCGAGACTATTCACGAAAAGACAGATCAGTCAGAATGTGCATCCACACCGTCCTCTGATGCAACAACGCTCTTCGACTGGGATCCAGCTAACGCGACCGCATTTACATCGCCCACAACCACCACCGCAAGCAGCGGTAGACGCCTCATCCGTTCTCACACTCCCGCCCCTATTAGAACCCAAACTCAGTCTCCAATCCGCAAACAATCGCAGAAACACAGCCGTCTTCCACCGAAGCTGCGCCTTCCTCCACCGCCACAATACCACGTTGAGGTCATCCTCTCACCCACAAGCCGGCGAAACAGACAACACTACCAGTCCAGCGTAGAGCACCTGCGTGCCCCACTGGTTCCCCTGATCTCTGTGGCAACAGGCCTCCCGCATCCAGAATTTCCCACCAGTCTACTGCAGTATCACTTGCTCACACATGAGCAATTGGATTCCCTTGCGAGATGGTATCACCAGGTGACGCC